TATTATCCAATAGTAGAACTCCTTCCAATAATTAGAACTCCTTCCTCTGAGACTGTATTAAAGAATATGAGACCGGGCTGGGAAGGTGGCTCAGTGGTAGAGTGCTTGCCTTGCATGCATGATGCCCTGGGTTCGAGTCCTCAGCACCACATAAGCAGAAAAAGCCAGAAGTGGTGCTGTGGCTCAAGTGGTAGAGCGCTAGTCTTTAGCTGAAGAGTTGAGGGACAGTGCCTAGGCCCAGAGTTCAAGGCCATGACCGGCCAGAAAAAAAAAGAATATGAGACCATAGAAAAGCAATTCTGGTCTGTTTCAGAAAAAAATCATTTCCCTTTTCACTCACAGCAGTATTTATTTAAGCCAGAATAATTACATTCAATTTCTTCTGTTTTTTTTCTAAAATGTTTTTAGCTGGGCACCAGTGTCTCATTCTTGTAATCCTAGCTACTCAGGACGCTGGGAACTGAGGATCACAGTTCAAAGCCAACCCAGGCAGGAAAGTCTGTGAGACTCTGATCTCCAATTAAACATCACAAAGATGGAAGTGGAGCTGTGGCTCAAGTGGAAGAGCACTAACTTCAGCAAAAGAGCTCAGGGACAGTGCCCAGGCCCTGAGTTCAATTGGCAGGACCAGCATAAAAAAAAAAAAAAAAAAGTTTTAATCAAATTCTGTAAACTCTGTTTCTGTTTGGGAAGCCAGTGGTGGACTTGTGCTTCCCTTATTGTTAGTAACAAAAGGGTTAAATCTTGAAGGTAAACCTTGCTAGATATCTCCCTCGATCATCAAAGAGAAAAAAGAAGAAGAAGGTCACAGTCAGTTGCTCCCCTTAGATGAGTGTTTATTAGAACATCTGCAGGCATATACTCACTCTTGAAGCACCAGCTTCGGCTTGCCACTCATAGTAGGCAGTCAGTGACTCTTCCCCCAAGTGCTGATTTTAGTACCTGGCTTAGCGGCAAAGATTCAGAGAAGGGTGAACAAGCCCCTCTGGCCTTCAGGTAGGTCCAATATACCTTCATTTTTACCAAAGCTAAAAAATGGGAACCTATGTCTGCAAACTTTAAGGGAATAACCATGCCACACTTCAGCAGTGTGTTAATTACAGATCAATGAGGTATTCAGATGGTGACTGGGTGATGCAGAATTTGGGAAATGGGCCTTCCTGTTCTCAGGCTCTGATAATAAATAATTTCTATGCTGCCAAAGCATTATTATTCACCTTAGCACACAAATTCTTCTCTGACACAAGAATAAGAAACCCTTAACTCCTGGTTTTACTGCCAGCAAAACCCTAATAATGTATGCCTCCACCGTGGTTAAAAAGAGTGTTAATTTGTACTAAGTGGCTGGAGTTACATGAGTTTACTTGTTATTTTGGAGAAATCAGGAAGCCTGCGCAGCACTAGTCATTAAGATGTCATGCTTCAGAGTACACTAGCTTTCTTTGGAAAGAGAAATAAGTCAGTTCACACTCAGGAAACTACAAACCCGGACCGCATACCATTAGTCCTCTTTTGATACTCAACTATGCCCTGCTTCAAAGTGAATAAATGAAAATCTCCCTGCTGAGAAATGCTATCATGGGGCTGGAAAAATTGTATAAGTGTATCGTTCCTGTATTTTCTGCCTTTAAAAAAAGATTCTTTAATGTGTTGACTTTGAAATTTCCCTTCATTAAATAATTGTGACTCTCTTTTTTAAAAATCTACCTGTTTTTGTCTAGTCTATTTAAAGAAAACTCCTTCAGTAGGTTATTTTGGATCTGGTAGGAAAAAAAACTTTTAAAAAGTTTTTTAAAACTAAGATATGACTAATATAATCATATGAAAGCCATCGGAGATGTACAATAGTCTACTCCAGTGAAGTCAAAACCAACTCACCAAATTATCAAAAAGTCAGTGTGACAAAAAAGTCAAAAATATTTTAAATGTTTTGTTTATTCTTTAAATACAAAAGTCATCAGATTAAAATGGCTAATCTACAAATCAAATACAGAAATACTTGACGATTATAAGAGATAAGTATTCACAAGAATAAATTTTACCCCTGTTTTTAACAATCTGAACAAAGATATTTTAAAAACGAACAATGTTCCCTACATCTTGCCCAAGATAATGTCTCTATTTATTCCACAATAATCCTGACTTAGTTTATGAAGCCAAAACCTCTGAAAATCTCAAGATGAAGCTGACAGGCTACAGTGACAACATTTTTTAAATTTGTTTTTTAAAAGTAATCATTTTTTTGAAAATTTCTTTCAATCTAGAAGCTACTATCCCTCTATGGCTTTCTTTATATCCCAGCATCAGTTTTCATGAGTGAAATAAGTAAGCTTTGTCTTGGGTGTTCTCTCTACCCAAAATGGGAAAACTCTCTTAGAACAATCACTCCTTGTCATGAATGTACTAATCTATGGCTGTTATTGACTGAAGTGAGGGTCAAAGATATTTTCTTCTACATCCTATAGATAAGATTGTCTTAATTGTCTTATCTATTGCATATTTGGACAGCCCATAGGACATTTGCCCAGGTTATTTTATGAGCAAGGCAAATTATTGAACTACACCCCACTGTGATCGGAGGAAGAGAGAGGCTTGCAAACACAACTTTGCTAAAAGTCATTCTCAAGCACCATTTCTTCCTCATTTCATTAATAACTCACAGTGGATTATTGAAAGATCATGCTTTAAAGATTCTCCCTACTATACAAAAAAATTAAAAGCACAAGATAATGTTTGGAGATAGGTGACACGTATCTACAGAAGTGCTTCAAATAAAACATCTTATTAGAGTGGCAAGACTCTACACGGTCCCAGGAAATTTTACATGGGGGAGTAAAAATAAATTATAATATCAACTAACATTTGTTGACTACTTATTATATGTCAGACACATAAAATGTGACTTACCTGTGTCATCTCACTAATTTTTCCAAATAATCAAATAAATAAGCACTAATATTATCTCCATTTTGTATATGAAATATATTATAAACAAGTATATAAATATATAAAATATGCATGCATAAATGTGTGATTGTGTGTATATATAATTCTTAATTTTAAAATATTCTGTATTCATGGTCCAGACTCCAATGTCCTAAAGCCCTCCCAATCATCTCCAATATTCATTATAAATACCTGCTCTCATTACTAGTAGATAATTATACACTAATAATCTTACTTTTGATAAATTTTAGGACAATCCTAATAACCGTGATTTATTGTGTGTTCTAAGTGTTTTCATAATTGACATCAACACAAGATATAAATAAATTTATCTGCTTTTACTGATAAGGTAACTGGAGCACAGACATATTAAATAGCTTGCCTAAAGGCATGTACCTTCTAAGGGACAGTGCCAGGCTCTAATCTAACCATACAGCACTAAGAGTCCATACTCTTAGCTGCCACTCTACTATGTCTTTAAGTAGATTAACAATTTACTCTTTTAAAAGTCAATAAATCTGCTACTCAGTAGGCTGAGATCTAAGATCCCAGAACGCAGAAGCGTTCATGAGATTCTTATTTCCACTTAAGCAGCAAAAAGCCAGAAGTGGAGCTGTCCCTCCAGTGGTAGAGAACTAGTCTTCAGTGACAAAGCTAAGAGACAGTGCCTAGGCTCCTGAATTCAAGCCCCAATGCTGGCACCAAAAAAGAAAAAAAAGGAAAAAGTCAATGTATTTGTCTTGTTTCTTCTAACGTTTAGTGCCTAAAACGTCATTCTGTAAATGGGGAACAGTTCTATTTTGAATCTCACTAAGGTGGGTAACAATAAAAATCTAGCACGCTTACATTATCTGGTAAATAACTGTTTAACTCATATAAAACGCTGAAAATCCGGAACCTCTTAGGTCCTGATTAGTACAGAATCGTTAAAGAATTACCTCGAATGGTGGGCTGGAAAGAGATCTGAAATAACTATTCTCCTAGGCCGGGAGAGAAAGAACGTCTGTGCTTCCTAAAAACAGCACGAAAAGCAGCTAAGGAATAAAAAGGGGGCGGGAGAGAGGCTTTACACCAGCAGTTTCAAACGTCTAAAGTTACTGTATCTCCATCATTACTAAATACAGGAGTGGTAACATTATCAGGCAATTCACAGAACTTTTGCTTTAGTCAGTCACTGCTGGGGTAACTTCACCCGCTCCTTAGTTACGCCCCGTCCCCACTCCCACCCCACCCCCATCGCCCAGCAACCCACGGATCTTCAAGGGTGCAATTGAATGGAGCTACAAAGTCCACGCAGCCATCCGCACAGGCACTCCGAGCCCTGACGTCCTTCCGACCGCGGTTGCCAGGCAACTGCACACTTAGGTCCACTACTACCGGCGCACCTGTTAGAGTCATCCCAGGAGGATCTGGCAATTCCAGGCCTTGCCAGGCATCCTTCCGGCCACTAAAGCCTGTCCCTACCCCAACCTTGGGTCTGTGTCAGCCAGCTCTCACCTCCTACTCCCTAGTTGTCTGTTTCGGCTCCCATCTAGTCACTTCACACTTTTGGCGCCCTCATTCAGACAGACATCCTAGAAGTCTCATCTCCAAGAGCAACAAAGGCAAATTATCCTAGATGCACTTCCCGCCGAGAACGGATTCCTGGGAAGTGTAGTTCTTTTGGCCGACCTGTGAGGACGCTTTAGGAAAACTGGACTACAACTCCCAGAAGTCTAAAGGAAAGACGGTACAGCTCGAAAACACGTCCCGGCTGCTCAGATTGTGTCCAGTGGGAAGGTTTTGCTGCTTATTGCTTGGCCAAATGCCTGAACTTGTTCTTTTTGTTTGCTTGCTTGTTTGTTTGTTGTTAGTTTGAGGATATATTAATTGTATAGTAAGATTTCATTGTAGTATTGCTATACGTGCATAAAATATAATTTGACCAAATGCTCCCCAAATGCTCAAGATTAAAAAAAAAGAGTCTTTAAGTATAGCGATTTACATAAAGAAATATTCTAAATCATGTAATTTGTAATTCTTTCAGCTAGAAGATCTGCTCTCAGTCAGAAAATATGTCACTGCAAATGGTAACAGTCAGCAATAACATAGCCTTAATTCAACCAGGCTTCTCACTGATGAATTTTGATGGGCAAGTTTTTTTCTTTGGCCAAAAAGGTTGGCCAAAGAGGTCCTGCCCCACCGGAGTTTTCCACTTTGATGTAAAACATAACTGTCTCAAACTGAAACCTGCTGTTTTCTCCAAAGATTCCTGCTACCTACCTCCTCTTCGGTACCCAGCCATCTGTTCATTTAAAAGTGGCTTTGACTCTGAAAAGTATCAATATATCATTCATGGAGGAAAAACACCAAACAATGAACTTTCAGATAAGTTTTACAGTATGTCTCTTATTTGCAAGAACAACAAAAAAGTGACTTTCCAGTGCACTGAGAAAGACTTAGTAGGAGATGTTCCTGAAGCCAGATATGGCCATTCCATTGATGTGGTATATAGTCGAGGGAAAAGCATGGGTGTTCTGTTTGGAGGGAGGTCATATATACCTTTTACTCAAAGAACCACAGAAAAATGGAACAGTGTAGCTGATTGTCTGCCTTATGTTTTCTTGATGGATTTTGAATTTGGGTGTACTACATCATACATTCTCCCTGAACTTCAGGATGGACTGTCTTTCCATGTCTCTCTTGCCAGAAATGATACTGTTTATATTTTAGGAGGACATTCCCTTGCCACTAATACTCGACCTGCCAACCTATACAGAATAAAGGTTGACCTCCCTTTGGGTAGCCCAGCTGTGAATTGCACAGTCTTGCCTGGAGGAATCTCTGTCTCCAGTGCAATACTAACTCAAACAAACAGTGATGAGTTTGTTATTTTTGGTGGCTATCAGCTTGAAAATCAAAAAAGAATGGTCTGCAACATTGTCTCTTTAGAGGACAACAAGATAGAAATTCATGAGATGGAAACTCCCGATTGGACACCAGACATTAAGCATAGCAAGATATGGTTTGGAAGTAACATGGGAAATGGAACTATTTTCCTTGGCATCCCAGGAGATAATAAGCAGGCTACTTCAGATGCTTTCTATTTCTATATGTTGAAGTGCTCTGAAGATGTTGTGAATGAAGATCAGAAAATACTCACAAACAGTCAGACTTCAACAGAAGATCCAGGGGACTCTACTCCCTTTGAGGATTCAGAAGAATTTTGTTTCAGTGCAGAAGCAAATAATTTTGATGGCGATGATGAATTTGACACCTATAATGAAGAGGACGAAGAAGATGAATCTGTGACAGGCTACTGGATAACGTGCTGCCCTACTTGTGATGTAGATATCAACACATGGGTACCATTTTATTCAACTGAGCTCAACAAGCCTGCCATGATCTATTGTTCTCACGGAGATGGACACTGGGTCCACGCCCAGTGCATGGATCTGGCAGAACACACACTCATAAACTTGTCAGAAGGAAGCAACAAGTATTATTGCAATGAGCATGTGGAGATAGCACGAGCATTACAAACTCCCAAACGAGTCTTACCCTTAAAACGGCCTCCAATGAAAGCTCACCGCAAAAAAGGATCTGGGAAACTCTTGACTCCTGCCAAGAAATCCTTCGTTAGGAGGTTGTTTGATTAGTTTTGCGAAAAACCTTTCATATTCAACCTTAATTGTTTTAGGCCTATTTTTGAAAATCATAACAATAATAAAATTAAATTCTGGTTTTTATTTAAAATTCTTATTTTGGTTATGTGAATTAAGTGCTAGTGTTTTAATGCAAGCTAACTACCGTCAGATACATTTTTTAAGTATTTTACTCAGAGAAGTTTTAAAGGAGAATTTTTATCTGATTGTTTTTCACTCAGGAAAGATGTAATAATAATTAAAGTGCATGTGTAGCCCTTATATCAATTTTGGTAAGAACCTGTAGAATAGGTAATGCAAATTTAGCACACAAAAAAAACTAATACACAAAGAAGTCAAATTGTTTTGCTCAACATAGCAGTTTGGCTGAAAATTAAAAATGATTAACTGTATATATCTCACTCTAGTGTTTTTATAACTTTTGGCAATCTCTTGGCTTATACCCATATGAAAAGAACAAATTATACATATATATACATATATATAATTATACATATGTATGTATGATTTCCTCTAACATGATGGAAGACTAGACATTAAATTTAGTACCATTTAATTTAATGCATCATGTATTTCCTTCAAAACTCCCCTCTTTCTATGACATGATACCCTGATGATGTGTTAATCATGTGAGTGAGTATTCATAAGACAACAGAAATCATTGCAATATAGAATTCTAGAAAAATAGGGAAATGAGCTTATGCTGAGAAATTAGCACCAAATAAACTTAATGGAAAAGAATTATGTTATTTGCCAAAATAATAGGTTTCAAATTTAGCAAGCAGGAGGTTGAAGTTGGGGAGAAATGTATATGAATGGGTATTTTTCTGGTTAACATGTAGAGTTTGTTATTGCTAAATATTATAAAATCAGTGAACCTGCCAAGATTCAACTAGATACTTGCTGGATCATGTTTAAAGAAAATACTGAAGCTACAAGTCATCATTTGATTACTAGACAAATTTAGAAACAAACATCCTGCCTCCTGAAGTACTTCCTTATGTTTAGCTATAGAAGCTCACTCAGCTAAAAATAAGGTAATATTAATAAATTGAACTCTACCCTGGAGATAAACTCCTGATTCTGGAATAACTTTGATGAACAAAATTGTATTCTCTTTTGATAATATTGCTTGATAAATGTTTCTTTGGGGAAAGTGGGTGTATAGACTTTTATGTCTATTATGTGTGTAAAATAATAAAATGTAAAAAATGTCTTCTATTTGTATGGATTTGTTCAGATTATTACCATTTATAATTACCCAAATAAAGGTGAAGTTTGAATATTTTCAGAATGACTCTTCTATGACTTCTAGAAAACATCATATATATTGTGCCATCACCCTTCTATACTACATTCTGCTATAATGTCTGCATTTCTTCCTGCCTCGCTGTTATCAGTCTTTGAAGATGTATTAATCCCCAGACTTCACTAGGTCTCTCTCTCTCTCTCTCTCTCTCTCTCTCTCTCTCTCTGCGTGTGTGTGTGTGTGTGTGTGTGTGTGTGTGTGTGTGTGTCTGTCTGTCTGTCTGTCTGTCTCTCCCTCTCTCTTTTCGCTGCTTCCAGACCCCTGGTGAGTTCACCTGAACATAAAGAAATAATTCTGTCCCTTTCTCCCCAAGCTAAACAGCATGCCTTCCTTGCAATCATCTAGATGTTGTCTCTTTCCATACTAATTTTCTCAGATACCTCTTGCTGGTCTTCCTGATTGTCACTAAAAAATATGTAAATAAAATAAAAACAAAAAGCAAAAATAAAATCTCACTGTTGTTCAGTTAAACAGATGTCACTATTAGTTCATCCCTGTCTCCCGGAGTTCTGCCATGGAACAGATACACATCCCCCTTGTTCCTGACTCCTGTAAACTTACTTGAAGTGTCTAATGTCCTCCTGAATTCTGCAGCACAGGGCACAAAAACTCCTTGTACTGAAACTCCCAATGTCTGCTCATTCCATCTTTCTTTCTAACTTTCCCTACAGAAATCTTTTATGTCATCACGGAAACAGTTCTTAGTCATGTAAGACAAAATAAATAGAGAATGAATGAAGGATGAATAACTGAAGGGATAATCCATCAAAAATTATTAGATATTCTTCAAAGTATAGCACTAATGGCTTCAGTAGTTTTCTGTCCCCCCATGTTAGAATAAAAGGAAGAACTAGGAGGAAAACGAGTCTGGTGTTGTATTCCAAGATTCTAGCATTCAAAGTCCAACATGCTTCAGCCCGTGCAAAACCACCTATTTAATATAAGCACTGTCACTGCCCATGTTGCCTTTTAATGACTTCTGCCACTGTGTCTAAACCAACAAAATACCGGATGGTAACTATGGTGAATATCTGACTTTTCCAACCAGCTATAAGTTCTCCCAGGACTAGAAGAAAGTCCTTGTAATTTCTAGATACTTAATGCCTGGCACATTGTTGGACTCCATTGAACCAAATGCTTGAATGAATTTCATCTACCTTCCATTGTGGGTGAGCAAGTAAAATTTATTTTATAATAATTATTTATTGCTTATGTTTTTCCTCATGTAGACTCAATTCCACCATGAAATATTATTAGTTTGTTATTGACTCTTCAGTATCTACTAAGAGAGAGAGAGAGTAAACTAAAGATGAAACCAATTAACCTCTGACTGACTGCACAGGTGAAGTTTGAAAAATAAGTCTTAGCATAATAAGCAATAAACCAAAACAGTCCAAAATAATCCAATGAATTTGCACAATTAAATTATATTTCTTGCCTATGCAAATATCAAGTTATTCTCCTGAGTGGCTCTCTTCCAAAATCCATTTCAGGCTTGTCAGGCTTTTTCTGTTCAGTAAGTCTTCTATCTTTATCATCTTATGTCCTCAAGAGTTCAGAGACAATGATAAGAAAAACAAAACATGGAGAAAGTATGCCCAACCAAATATTACAATCTGAAAATGATTCACCATTGGCAAATCCTCATCACCAGAGTTTGAGTTGCCTCCTCACCATTGAGAGGGTAAGTTGGAATGGAGCTTAATTGTATGCCCAAAAAGGAGAAATGGATGCATGCATTTAGCCAGCAGCAGCTACAGTGCAGAGTATATCTAACCACCCCAGAGAGGTAGAGCTATTTACCTTGAAGTAGTAATAACCAGTACCAGTGTAACTGTGTTGAACTAAGAAAAGCTACTCATTCTCTTACTACCTTTCGCTTACACTATGTTAAGCAGCTCTCAACTGGTATCCCAACCTCCTCCATCCTCCTACACCTCTGACTTTTCTGAAAATACAACCATCAGCCAAAACTTTTTTGTTTTGTTTTATTTTTTACATCCTAGCCCTGGTTACTCTCTATTCAGTGCTGTGTGTATGTGACCAAATCTAAGTCCACTCACAATTTTAAACAGTCTATTTTGTGTTTCTCTAAACAACTCTAGTATAATCTCTTACTAAGTCTTGTTACATAACAGTGTGGCAAATGATGAGCCAATACAACAGTGATACTCACTAGACACTATGCAAGAAATTAACTTTACAAAGTTTTGGTCAGTCACACCCGAGACTGAAATCTGAGCATCACAATTTGAAGTCTTCCCCGGAGGGAAGTCTGAGCGACTGTTATCACCAATTCACCATCAAAAAAAAAAAGCTGAGAATGTGAGAGAGGCCTATTAGGCAGCCTGTGTCCAAGGTCAAACATGAGACATTTTCCTGTGGAGCAGATGGTGTTCTCATGTTCTCAGGTGTCCAGCTTCTTGAACTAAACAGCTACTAGTTTGTGTGGGGTTTTTGTTTTGTTTTATTTTTTACATCCTAGCCCTGGTTACTCTCTATTCAGTGCTGTGTGTATGTGACCAAATCTAAGTCCACTCACAATTTTAAACAGTCTATTTTGTGTTTCTCTAAACAACTCTAGTATAATCTCTTACTAAGTCTTGTTACATAACAGTGTGGCAAATGATGAGCCAATACAACAGTGATACTCACTAGACACTATGCAAGAAATTAACTTTACAACCTGGGGGAAGGGAAGTCAGGGGGAGGGAAAGCAGGAGAAAATAAGGGAAGGGGTAACACTGAAAAGAAATGTACTCCTTACCTTACTTCTGTAACTGTAACCTCTCTGTACATCACCTTTGCAATAAAATCAAATTTAAAAAGAAGTAGAGTTGTTGCTAAAACGGCAGAGAACTAGCCTTGAGCAAAAAAAGTTCAGGGCCTGAGTTCAAAGCACAGTACCTAAAAAAATCTTCATTTTCTTTGGGTTAAAATCCAAATGCTTTATTATAGCATGGCATGATTCTTCAGAGCCATCCTTCCCCTTTCCTATACTCTATACCTGATCCCCATCAATGCTGCATATCCTCCAAATGGAAAAATCCTTCCCCTATCATCCATTTCAAGCTTTATTCAATAATGATGTTCTCCAGGAAGACTTTAGCCTAAAAGATTCTAACACTCACCTTTTCACCCAAACTATCTCTCTTTATAGTGTCAATCAACTTACATAGCAATTATTTATCTATCTGTCTTTTCTGGCAGTGGGATTCTATAAAGAAACCACAGTTTCTTTCTTAATTTTATATGCCCAACAGAAAGCATAATTTGAGGTTCATTATAATTGTTCAATAAATGTTCATTGGCTTGAATTGTGTTCATTATATATAGACAGAAAGGAAGCCACTTCTGAGGTTGTCTTGTGATTTTTATGACTCTGATAAATGCATGATGGACTGTCAAGATAAATTCATTGTTCTAAGTAATACTTTGATCAATCATAATACCTCGGAACTCGGAAAACAAAAGTACAGCAAAACTCACAGAAGAAAATTAGGTCCTGAGTTAAATTTATTATTTTTCTACTTGAAAGGAAGCAGATGATATAGAATAGTTATCATGGTAAATTTAGAAAGAACAGACAGCCATTATAATCCCCAGTGACAAGAATTCCAAACTACTTATACGCTATCCGACTTCACACTAGTATGGAAATTGCTGTTTGACTTGGAATTTACCA